TTGCTTATGCTGCTACAGATGAGAGAGAGGACAGAGCAGAGGCAGTTGAAGAGGGAGTTTATATCCAAGACAGAAGCTGCCAAGAAAGAATTCACATTAATTTGGAAAAAGTCACTTCATTTGCATATCTTCCAGGAAGCTCAGCAGCACTAAAGGCAGTGCCTACCACACAGGGGTACTGATCATGGCCAGCCATGAGTTCCTTTTGTTGGCTTGCTGAGAAGCTGGTTTTGACTCTTTTTTATGATCAACAGAAGCTGAGAGGCATCTTTAGAAAAGGCCAAGATTCCTTCACTGTATTATGCTCAAGCAAGCATTTTTTTAACAAGTGCTGCAATTTGTGTGTGAGTGGAGGGGAGTGATGTTGAGGTATTATAGACCCCAGGGAGAAGAAGAACTAAATCACAAATAAAAGATGTCTCCTCCACCATGTCCACAAGAAATAATAACTCTACATCACCTGCCTTCTCAAATTTATAGCATTCCAAACAAGTGTTACATCTTAAATCAGCCGAACATACAATAAAATGAGACATCCAGGAAAGCTCATGAAGGAATAGACAATAAACAGAGTGGAATTAGAGAGTAACAAGGATGAAGCAAAAGCAGAGGAAATAAGTAACACCAGGAAAGTTAAGAGTCATTGTAAAAAACAACTGAAAAATACTTCAGTAAATTAAGACATTTCAGAAAGTTAGTATTTTTTATTTCATGGTAACTCAAAAATTTGTTTTGATGCTATGCAATCAGATTATGAGCAGCATTAAGGCAACTGTAAATTATAAGTGAATTGAAATTATTTTAAAAAAGTATATATGCTTAAAAACAGTATGTTCATTGATTGATGTTCATTCATTGATGAATATGTTCATTGTTCATTGAAGAGTAGAAGAGGTATATTTATTTTGCGAGAGCAGACAGAAACAATTGCCATGTATTTCTTAGGATGAATTAAAAAACTCACGCAATGTTATTGCAAAAAATAAAAGCCATGTCAGAAATGTAACATTTGAAAACTTATGCTAAATACACTTCCATTAAAGCTTTTCCAAAGCTTTTTGAAGTGTTAAAAAACCTCAGTAAAATCTTTCAGCATCTGGAGCCTAGTTTTCAGCGCTGGAAAAAAGAGCAGAAGTAAAAAGTCCCTGTCCATTTCCAACTACAGCAGAGATGAGATGTCAGAGACAAATTTACGAACTTTCACAGTACAATGGGCATTTCTGCACTAGGAAAGAAAGAAAATTAACTGGGATCCTGCAGATGCTTTGGATGAAGTCTCTGGAAGAGATCTAGTGAGGGACCATCTGAGCTGCATCTGGACCTAACTGTTCCAGCAATTTTTACTTTTAAGAATTTGAAAAATCATCAGTTTCAGAAAGCAAAAGGGCATTGTATGATATTGTGTACAAAATTTTCCCTATCAAGTTATAGTAAAGATACTACATTGTTTTATTAAGTCTTGAGCCAGAGCAAGTTTCTTAGAAGACAAGACCAATCCCATCATGAGACCTCTGCCTGAAAACTTTACTGCAGGGAGTATTTGTCTTAAGATGTGACAAGTAACATAAAAAGCTCCACAGAAAAAAAAAATTATTTTTCCCAAACATAATGTTCCTGAGTCTGCAATGATTTTTGAAATTTATTTCTTCCAAATTATAAAACATTAAATTAAAAAAATATGTAAAAAGCCAAATGTCACACACCCCACGGTCTTCCTAGGAATTCAGAATCAGCTGGTAGCCTTCACTTCTCATACCTCCTTACTAAAAAAGCACTAGGGAATTGCTGACAGGGTTCAGCATTGTGCAGAATATTAAATATCTTTTTTGCAATACCCTGGTGACTCTTGAGTCTGTCTCTTACAGCACCATATGTACAGCTGTGTTGGAAAGAGGAAGCTATTAAATATATTAAAAAGTAGAAATATTACCAATAGACACTTCATCAAATAACTGGATCTCATTCATCCCCAAACAAAGCAAGAAATGTTAAGGTTACATCAACATAAGAAAATAACTCTGGATTTAATAACAGCACAAGCCTGTTGAACATATTTGAAAGTAAAAACATTGCTTAATAAAACAGATTAGCGTTTCTGAAACAATGAATATAGCTTTCAACCATCAGAATGCTTCGGTAACAAAGACATTGGACTTGGTTTTGAAAGGTGCTGGGTGTCTCAGTTCCCACACCACACTCACAGTTAGAAGGTCTTCAGGTCCAAATATATTACCCCTAGTTTACTGCCAACACAGGAATAGGAATATTTTCTATCAAAAAGGATTTAATAAAGTGGGGGAAAAGAGCATTTTGTTCGAGATTGCATTCGTAAATCTATCCTTGAAAGTTTGCCCTCGTCCCACACACACATACAAATATTGCATCCACATCTCCAGCGAGTGCTTCAAGGAGACAGCCACGACCCACCCGCGTGGCACGAGGGCACACAACCACAGAACTTCTCAAAAACATCGAAACTTAAGAATTAAGTTACTTTTTTTTTGTCTGAAAGCGAGTTTTAGAAAGGACATTTTTGAAGTTTCTAAGCACCTAAAGACACCAAGGGGAAAACTGGACTTTTCAGTGGCTCCTTCCTGGTAAGAATTTAAATCAGCATTACGCGAGAACGCGCTGCCAAAAATCCCACTTGCCGCCCAGCCGCACTTTTACACTTACATAAGACTTTTACAAGTACGGCTGTTCGGCCCTAGAAGCCTAACACCCATCAACTTTTAATAAGATTTGCAATCTTAAATGCTCAAGTAACTTCTGAAGAAAGGACTCAGGCTGTTTGTAAAGCTTCCCCCGTATGCCCCCATCTCGTGCAGCAGAGCTCGCAGGCAGCGCGCGGCGTTCCCCGGTGATTTCAGCGCTGCTCTGGAGGAACTGCTCCACAGCTACATAGCAGGAGTTCCTCTCTCCCACTTCAGAGAAAGAAATGATAAAATAAAGAACACCTATGGAGCCCTGCTAAGCATAACTTCCTATAAAAATACTGCAGCTCTGAATGTTTGTTTTACTATCGCAAGGACTGTGTTACTTACCCCACTTAAAAATTTCTGGAATAATTTTGCAAGACTAACTCCAGTACTACTTTTGCTAAACCTGGTACAGGAGGTTATGTTTCTTCTTCTAGGGAAAAGAAGTTTTGTTACTCACAGTAATAATGGAATAATTTACATATTTTACTCCAGCTTCTGAACACATATTTCTATCTAGATTTACAGTCTTTACTTCTTGTAGGGTTCCTCCCTCATTCATTCACCTTGTTTTTCACCTTGTTGCTAGGTGTTGCAACTAAGGCAGTTGACTACTGACTTGCAAGATAATTACAACTTATGAGTCAAGAATTTTTAAGATACATGTCTAAAGAGCAGTGAAACTTCTTGAATCAAGTGTTAACAGAAATTAAGACCCTAAGGCTACAGGCATCACCATGTATTGCATCAAGATAACTGGTTTATCCATAAAAAGGTAAGCAATTAAAAAGTGCAATACTCCAGGCAGTGAACCCACAAGAGATTCTGCACAGACTTCTTCTTTCCTGTCATATGGTTTGTGAACATACTGTGTTGCAAAAAATTCAGTTTACAAAAACAAACACCAGGGCAAAGAGACTTGGACTTGTCTTTGGTGCTCTTCAACCTCAGCCATGCACTTAAGTAGGACCAGGTTTTGAGGTGGTTTCAGCAGAAACCGTTGCCTGACCAAGAAGCCCTGCCTGGTGTTAACCATACGGATTTCCATCTCCAACTGCCAATGCTGCTGGAGGTCCAACCCTGGCACAGTCACAGACAGACAAGCAACACCAGTCTTTTAGTGGCTTGGATGCAAGTTCAGCACCTCACCACAGACCACCATCACTATGGATACCAGACTTTAATTTCAGCAGCTGAGATTTGGGCACAGAAGCCTTTGTACTCTTCTGAAGAGACACCAGAGGAGGAAAGGTACCTGGAGCAGGAACTTTTTAACCACTGCAGACAGATCTGTCAGCATTTATGTCACTGCCAACACAGACCTCACTTGGAGGTCTCCAAGCTGTTCTGATTCAACTTCTGTGGGAGAAGCATATCTACACCAAACCCAAAGCATGGGTCACAGGCATACCTGTGGTACTCTCATACCTACAGTCTGAGTTACACACACACATGGAGGACAAATTATGCTAGTACCAAACACCTTTGTGCAACCATGGAATTATAACAGCTTTACTCATTTAGTTGAAAAACTCAGAGAATTAGATAAGTACAGTTCAACTTCAAAAACTGTTATAATGCCTTTTTTTAAAAAAATTCCTCTTTTTGCATTCCAGTGCCTGAACTTCCTGGCAAACACTATTTATTTGACAAAGGCTTATGTAGGTAGTGATGGAAGCTACCACAAGAGCTGAAATTTCTCTTCAGTCTTCTCAGCTGAGGCCTGCTGTACAGTGCAGCCTGTGGGATCATGGCCTAAGATTAATCAGGACCAGCAAAGCACTGTGCTGTTGTGGTAAGCCTTCATTAAGTCACAGTTCATTGACCACTAAAACATAAATATAAAATATTTAAAGACACGTGGTTGAAGCAACTGAAGGAAAACAATTTTAAAGAGAACCACACCAGCTTTCAGGGCATCTGAGTCTCAAGCATGGTTCAAACTGAGGTAGGAGATGAATGGGGGTATGGCCCTGTGCAGAACAAAGAAAAATGCTTAGATAAACAGTCTGTAATGAGTTCATGTTACACACAAGAGTTTGTCAGAAAAGTTAATGTTATTGACAGTCCTTCCCTGTGCACAGTAAGCACTTTGATTACAGTAAACTCCTCTGGAAGAGGTCAGGCCACAATGACATAACTGTATAGGTTAAGAGATTTGAACACAGAATCAATGACAGAAAGGTACCAATTTCATTTCAAACTACTTACGTTCATAGTAAAGCTACTATTTCCCACCCTCCCCAAGTGCAACTGTCCAAAGAATACAAATTATAATGAAAAAAACCAACCATCACTTACTCTGTTTTCCGCCTTTGCTTGTCTTCAAATATATCATTCAGACTTATGGCTACCTGTCCCAAAAACCTGTCCAGCCCCACCAGCGACCTGTGCATGACAATCAGGTACAGGATGTATTTTTCTGGATTCTCCTGCATGAGTAGTCCAGGGAGCTCGAAGGAGGCCTCTTCTTTCCAGATGGGATCCAGCGTCTTCTCAGCCACCGAGGTGGAATACTTCTCCTTGCCCAGCTGGATGATGGTGTAGGCATCGTTGCTGCCATTTTTACCTTTTGGCTTCAGACCTTTGGCTTGAAGAACCGTAACTTGCACGTGAGTTGGGAACCACTTTTGGGCTTGCTCCGCCAACATCATCTTTGAGGATCGCAGCAGCAGCAGCAGCAGCAATAACAACAAACGCAAAGTCAGTCAGTCCTCGAGGGACTGCGTAAGGGCACTTACGGCGGAGACACCTGTCAGGGGCTCGGCTGGTCCTTCCTCTAGCGCTGCTGGCCGCGGGTGGCCCTCACCAGCCCGCGGGTCCCCCCCTTCCCCGGCAGCCCCACCTGCGGCTCCATGGCCGGGGGCTGCAGGTCCCGCCGCAGCCCCGGCCCCGCCGCCCTCCCGCGCCCGGCCTGGCCCTGCCCGCCGCTGCCGCCGGCCCGGCCCCGCGCCGCCCCCAGGGCATCCCCCGGGCAGGGCCGCTCCGCCGCGGGGCCCCGCAGGCCGGCGGCGGCCTCCCCCTGCCCGTCCCGGCTCGCTGCCGGCGGCGGTTCGGTGCCGGCGGGGGGCTCGGTGCCGGGCTGCCCTCGCTGCCTCCGTCAGTCCGCCCGTCCCCGCCGCGGCCGCCTCAGCCTCTCGCCGCGCTGCCCCCCCGCCGCCGCCCGGCCTGACGGGCCGGCTCCGCCGCTTCCGCCTTCCCCATGCTGCGGGCGGCGGCGGGCAGAGGGCAGAGGGCAGGGTTCGCCCCCTCCCTCTCCTCCCTTCGCCGCCGTTCCCGGCCGCCCGGGCAGCGCTGCCCAGCGCCCCGAGCACCCCCGCTGCCCGCGGGCAGGGCCGGAGAGGCCGCGGCTCCCCCGGGCGTGACGGAGCGCTGGGCTCCCGGGGCCCCCTCCCGGCTGAGAGCCCCGGCCCGTTAATTAATTCTTCGCTATTTTTGTTTCTGGAGCGGGCAGAGAGCTCTGCAGGAGCTGTGGAGAGGAGGGTACTTGGCTAAAGGCGTATATTGTTGTTATTTTTATTCAATATTAGGGGCTTGGGGATGGCCACGGAGCCAGCCGGGAGTGGTGCTGCTCTGGAACCCATCCTGCTCCAAATCGCTTCGGAAACGTCTTTATTTTCCAGCCCCATCCATCCGCCCTGGAAAATCTGTTAGATTTAAATGAGAGAGTGATATTAAAAAATACAAAAATATTAATAAAAATATTATACGAGATGTTTTGAGGACACATAATTTTTCTTATGGTACACCTGGAGATTGCACGTGTTTACATGCGCACCTGTAAGTGGAGTCACGGGTATTAACATCATTTCTACAAAAAAAAAAAAAAAAATTTGGTCGCAAGTTGTATCCCATCCCTGCAAACCATAAAAAGCTGGGAAACCAGCAGCCAGGTCAGATAATACTTCACCCACCACCCCTCACTCATGACTCCCCGGTCTGTGGCTCACAATTTACTGAGCAAAGAAACCTTGGGGGACGTTCCCACAGCTGAGACCTACAGAAAATGAAAAACTTAAATCTGAAGTCCATTAGGGAGAGTAAAGTATGATGCTACCCAAAAATACCTAATGCCAAGCAAGTTATTTTCCAGGGTCCCTAAAAGGGGGGATCACCAGTATACATACAGTCATTAGCCTGAGCCTACCTCATGTCATCTCTGTACACAATTTTAATAAATACATCATTGATGCTCAGTTTTTGCCTGGCAGTGATAGCTGTCTGCATGCTGTGATAGTTAACACAGTGCTGGCACTTCTTTCCTCTTCCACATTGTATCTGATTTTCCTTGATAGGAAAATAGATGGTCCAGTTGGAAATGGTAACTTCAATACATGTCCTGGGAGCATATATTTAAGTAAAAATGTATAAATGGATCATTTAGGATAGTAGTTTCTGAAAGCATTACAAATGCAATGGTTGTCTGCCTTGGTTTGTGATGCTTACTAATGGTCAATTAAGGTTGCAGGTCAACTCTTTTGAGATAAATCTCCATCCCCTCACATGAAAAACCCTGAAAACCCCTGAAAACCCCTTCCTACTCTGCAGCTGTCATTCTTCCATATCCTCAGGTATCTTTCCCAAATGTTCCACAGTGAAGCTCCCAGGAGGAGCTGCTGTGCTTGGGGGGAGTTGCAGTATTTCGGGCTGGAAGAGCCAGAGGGAATTATGGTGCCAGTGCTCTGCAGGAGATTTAGGCCATGGGGGAAAGCCACAGGGTACTTCTTGGAAACCAGAGAGACTCATGTACATCAGAATATTTCTGAAATTAATTTTACCACATACAAATTCTCTTTTAGTAGTATAATCTTCATTGCACTAAGTAGAAACCAAGCATGATGAACTCATCAAATCAAAACAAGAAATGAATTTTAGGTAGGCAGAATGCATTTATTTAATAGAAATTTAAGTCAAACATCATGTCCTGCATGCTGTGTCTTAGGAGAATTTTAACGAGTTTTACAAGAAGCAGGTTTTGTGCTTTTTCCTTGCTTTTTATTGGTATTCTCTAATTTCTTGTAATTGTCTCTTTCTAAGCAGGAGCTGACTGGAATACATGTGCACACGGCTGAACAGGGGAAGGTGGAAGAACTTTTGTGCTGCTGCAGACCATATATCAGTGCAATACCCAATCTGCCTTTCCTGCTTTCAAAAATAAACAGATTATTAGTCCTCTACTCCTTATGTGCAATCTGGCATGTGAGAAGAGGAGTGTGGAACCTTTCCCCTTTCTCATGTTTCTCCTCTCTGCTCAGCTGGTGGAGCAGGCACTGGGGAGATGCCCCCTCAACTCCTCCACCCCTGTGCTTGAAGAGAATTCTGCTCAAAGGTGCACCAGAAATATTTTATTCCCTCTTACACCCCTCTAGGGTCAAGCTGAAAGCTGGCCTTTTGATTTTGTCCTCTTTGGAATAGAGTAATTGTCATCTCCTGGAATGTAGCGTGGGATATACATGACAAAATATCTCAGAGAAATAATGATATCTCCAGCAGCACAGTGTCCCCTGGCACTTTGTTAGAGCATTAATCCAGAAATGACTCAGATTTTCATTCACTGAGCCACCAGGACTGCTCAGTGCCTGTATGCACTGTAGGTTTTGCTCATCACTGTCCATAATTTAGTGAATATTACATTAGAAAATCCATTTTATTTCCTATGTACCATTTTGGTTACAGGACCATACCATTCCTTCAGTGCACCATAGATATCCAGTTATTCTGTAACAATAATATTTTAAACTTACTGTCACTGCTGTATCATGTTTTCTGTCCAAATCCACTCACTCTGAGGATGTCTTATCATGAATTTTCTAGTCCTTCTTTTCTTTTAGAGGATTTTGAGCTCAAAATGTTACATTTGGAGCTTGCAGTCAAGTATAGCTCCATTGTATGCTACACTGTGGTGAAAGGGATTTCTCCCTGTGGATGGTAGGTGGCTCCTGTAGTGTTCTGTGCCCTGCCCCTTTTCCCTGTTCTGCCACCTTCTGTGTAGCGTTGGGGAAAGCTGAGAAAAGCAAGCCCAGAATTCTTGCTGATGAAGAAAAAGCCATCAAAGCTGGAATATGTGGCCTCAGAAAATTGTTTCTGCAATTCTAATTTGAAATAGCTGTCCTGTGTTCCTGGTGGATACTCCAACACCCCATCTCCTTGTAGAAAGCGATGAGAGTGAGTTTAAAAATCAATTGTTAACCACAGAACAGCAGTGGATATCCATGGGATATTTAATACAGACCCCTAAAGCTCATGTGTGCCATCTATCTCTATTACACATTCTTCCAGTCATTTCTGACCCAGGACATCAACACTGTTGATTTTGTTTGTTTGTTTGTTTGTTTGTTTGTTTTTTTAAAGAGGCAATTCCAAGAAGTATGGTGGATTTTTTTCAATTCCAGTAATTTGAAATTCCCTCTCATTTCTCCCTCCTGAGCCTACATCTGATTAAACACGAGCCTTGATATTCTGGCTGCCCTTTCAAAAGAAAATGCAAGAAAATCTTTTTGCCTGTGCCACTGAGACAATTCCACATTCTGCTTCTCATTTCCAGTTGTGTAGTTGCTAAAGAGGATCAGAGCAGGTGTGTTTACTCTGGTAAACTGTAGCAGGTAATTTGGTGATTTAATTTCTCCCTGATTTCTGTTTATGAAGTAGGAAACATTTTGTTGTTTTTTTCTTATGAAAATGCTATCTCCTCTTTGAAATTATTTGCTGAATAATTCTTAGTTGGCAGATTGCAGGCGTTGTGTTTGCTGTGAACATTACATTGCTGTGAGGAACAGGCTGGTTTTGTCTTGACATGTGACAAGCTTCTGCTTCCTGCCTTGCTGAAAAACTTTCAGTAGCTGTTGCAACTGTCCAGACTGTTTTCTGGAAAGACTGTGCAATTTTTGAGACTGAACATTGTTGCCTGTTAGCTTTATCTTAGCAGTCATTATTTTTTCAATTAGTGAATTCTTCAGGAATTCACTAGAATTAATTGACTGCAGAAATCAAATAGCTGGGCTCAAACTGCTGTGAATTGGAAAGTTTTTTCAAGCTACTGGTTTTGTCTGCTCTCTTGGTTTGAGAAGAATTAATTATGCTGGAAGTATTTTGATGTAATTATTAAAATCTAGAAGAATATGAATGAATTTTCCATTCTGATCCCAAATTTTGCAACCCAAAATGTTCAAGGTTTGCTGAGGCTGGGTCAGTTAGGCCACTGTCCTGCTCTGAGTGATTTCTTTTACCTTTCACATTCCTTGTTGTGGAACATCTCAGAAGGAGGAGACCTTTGGCCTCAACACTAGGGCTGAATTTTCTCTGGTAGGTTTTGAAAGCCCTACAGAGACCCCAGTGTTCCTGAGCTCTCAGGTGCTGCCACTGTCATTTCTTCTGTGCTGTTCTCTCCAGCCATCTGTGGGTTTATCTGCTTGGGATGCAGTTTGTGTCTGCCCTGCCTCGCTCTTCACCTCTCTTTCTTGCATTATTGCAAGGAATGGGATGATACAAGAACCAGCAAAGGAAATGGGTCTCTGAAAAGGAGAGTGAGGGCTTGAAATCAGGCAAATGCCACAGAATTGTCCATTGTTCTGATAGAAATCCAGTACTTTCCATGGGAAATCTGGAGGCATGGATATGGAAGTCCTCTGTGCGATATCAGACTTCAAATAAATGCCAGGTACCACTAAGAGTGTTGGAAGCATCATCTTTTTTGTTCATTTTTAGCTGAACATGTTTCACAGCCTTTCA